CAGGAAGGAACGAAGCGGCTTCGCACGGAGCGAGTAGGCGGCAAACAAAGGAGGGGGGGAGCAGCGCTCGAAGCGCTAGGTTTTCCCCTGAAGAAAACGGTCTAAACGGTCCCCCTTGCAATAGAAACACTCCCTAGGGAGTTCCAACCTCAATTCCTGCGCTGACTGATGGAAGGGTCCAATTTGAAGCGACAAAAACTCTAGGGTGCTGAACGACCAGGAGCGAGAGATAAACAGCCTGACTGCCACGAGGCTGAGCTAAAAACTGGGGAGCGCCCAGAGGACCACGTGATGGTGAGAGGCGTTCCTCAATTTCAAGCTCAGCCTGTGAGAGCCGAGACTGGAGCTCCTCCCAACCTGGACACTCGGAACAGCTCTATGGAAAAAAACATACGTTGGGTGTTGTTTGATATTGTTTATGTCGGCTTCATGTTAGAATAAATTTTCCTCCAGTGATTCCAATAAAAGAGATGGCTGCTTCCAAGATTTGAAGACAAAGGCATGCTTATACCCTCTTCATCTCCAAAGGGCCTTTTAGAGGTTAAATCTAAAATGCTCCATTAAGCGTTTGTTATTTTATTGGATTTCCTGTATTTTGATTTAAGGAGGAAATGGATTCCATATTTGCCATTAGAAACTAAAATATATTGAGGCTATTTTAATAAGAACATTTCACAGTTTCAAATGCATTATAAAATCTTGCTAAACCATTTTATCTACTTTAAAAAAAGACATTATGATGATCTATGATGATCATACATATGGACTTTACGACATCCAAATGTTATGTATGACACAGAGCAGTTTTAATTGCATTGTGTGCTTAAATATCATAGTTTTCTTTTCATCTTATAGCAACATAAGAAGCCAATGGATTTAGTGATTGATCATATGCCATCAAGTTGTTTTTGACTCCTATAAAGTAGTTTTTCTCCACGACAATCGATTCCTAGCCCCTGGCACCTCCATATCTATTCTAAGTCCATCCATCTTGTTGCTGGTTGTCTTCTTTTTCCTTCCATCTTTCGCCGCATTAGAGCTTTCTCCAAAGCTGGATTTTCACGTTGTTTGAGGGGAGATAATTTGAGCCTGGTCATTTGGACCTTGAGTGAAAATTTTGGGTTGATTTGTTCAATAATCCATTGGTTTATTTTCTTGGCTCTTCAGGAGTCTTCTCTGACATCAAAAGTCAAAATCATCAATACTCTTCCTGCTTCTTCAAAATCCAACTTTCACTTGTACAGAGCGCCACAGGGAACAGCATAGCTTGCGTGAATCTGATCTTTGTAGGTGTAGACCAGTGGTGGAATTAAAAGTTTTTTACTACCGGTTCTGTGGGCATGGCTTGGTGGGCATGGCAGGGGAAGGATACTGGGGAATATCCAGTCAAGAGGTGGTATTTGCTAGTTCTCCGAACTACTCAAAATTTCCGCTACCGGTTCTCCAGAACTGGTCAGAACCTGCTGAATATCACCTTTAGTGTAGACATATTCTAGTATAGTGGTACCTAGTACTCAGCTGCTTTGAAAGTAACCAAATTTGGTACTCAATGCATTTTGGCATGAAAAATTTGTCTTGGTACTCTTCGTCTGTTTGATATTCAACGCACAAGCTATAACTTGCTTTTGGTAGCTGCCTTCTGACTCACTACATTATTTCTTATGGGGAAAATTTGCTTGGTACTCAATAGTTTTTTGGTACTGATCATGCCTCCTGGAGCCAATTAACGATGAGTACCTAGGTACCACTCTATTTGAATATCTTTTCCAAGACTTTCATAGCTACTCTAGGAAGGCCTTCTAAAGTACTAGTCTGCAGTGTATTTCTTGGTTTCTTGTTCCTTTACTGATGACAGTTGATGCTAAAAGGTAGACGCTCTCCACAAGTGATATTTTCATTGGCAATTCTAAGAGTGGTTGTTCGACTTACTGTCATTACTTTGGCCTTCTTTATGTTTTAAGTCTCTTTTTTTCCACTCTGCAATGAACAAAGTATTGTAGCTGCAGTTGGTGTGTTTTCAACTTTAACTGAATCATCAACCTTAATCTGCTACAAAATGATTTCTAAACTGAAAAATGGCTTAAAAAATAAAAGAATACCTGCCCATATTAATTAGGGGAAAAACCCTGTTTACAGTACTCCTATACAGTAACATAAGGGTAAAAAAATGGAAAAATTATACAATGGAAAAACATACCCAACAGTTGTATGAGAATAGTGTAAACCTGTGCTGAGTTTCATGGAGAAGATTCCCAGAAAGGTCAACATTAAGATTTCAGCTCTAAGTGATGGCAATCATGCTTTCCAAATCCATCCCCTTTCAAGTGATTTGAAGAAGGAAGAAGCGGACGACTTGTGTTAGGAAATGGAGGTGTGGTGAGGTGCTTCTCCACGCTCTATGGCTTTTGATCAGTCCAAACTCTCTATTGCACAGGCAGATGGAGCTGTGGCCAAGGCAGTCTGTGCTGAGATGAAACAACTGAGATAGGTCTCATACTTGCTGGACCACAGGTGGTGCTAAAGAGTTCATACATACTTTTGCCAACCTCAGAGTTTCTCAGAGATTGGATCTAGTCCCTTCCCTTGTTGTAAAAGGCCACATGGAACTACTGGCAGGGCAGCTTTCTTTTATGTACACTGGAAGCATTTGCACCAAGACAAATTCCTTGTGTCCAATCACACTTGGCCAATAAAGAATTCAATTCAATTCAATCCCAACTTCCTACTTTCATCAAGTTTGAAACAATTTGGACTGCTTATATACCCTAGGTTTTGGACCTAGTTTGAGGTCCTGCCCGTACATTTAAAGTTCTACACATTTTTGGATATTTTCAATGCAATCTTCTATTTTCCTTCTGTAAGTCCAACTAAGATGAGATGTTGGGTGACCTCAAGGACGCTATAAATCATGGCATTAATTCTGGAGCCTAGGCCTCCATTAAACATGCACGTACCACATTCTGAGCACTCAGTTAAATCTTAAGAGTTCTTGTTCCAAAAATCGCAACCAAGTGGGGTTGAGCAGATGCTCTAAAAAAAATTAAACTTTTCCAAGTTTTAAGGCATCTAAGCCAATTTTTTGCCTTTTGGGATATATCTCTTTGCAGATTCAACAGTAATTTGCTGATGGGGATCAACTCTGAGGAAAGTGGGCTGTGATAACCATTTGGAGATATATTTATTCCAAATAGATGGTGCCACCAGATTGGCTAGTTTATTTTTTGGAGGCATGCTTCATTTTTCCTGTGCCTTCACCCTGGGTAACATACAGGCCTGACTGTTGGGGAATCATCTATCAGAACAAATAAAATTTCCTGATAATTTCATTTCAGTCAATGTACAACCACTCATTCAGCAACTATTCAGTTATGACACCAAATGAATGTTGGTTACAACTGGTCTTCAGAGTTCCCTTCCTGACCAGCATCTCTTGCACTTCTTGTTTTATGACTGCATCACTTAGCAATGGAAATTTGGTCCCAATTGTAACTTGAGGATTACCTGTAACTACCTAGCTTGAGCTAGGACTTTGCAATTCTTACAGGAATTGTCTCCTCAGATCGGTTTTATTTATATTTTTATTATTTTTTATGCCACCCATCTCCCCCTACAAAGTGACTGTTACAGTTTGCCTTGACTTTCAAGCAAATCTGAAGCTCGGACTAAAAGGAGTAAAGTAAACAGGACTTCTGGAACTGTTCAGGTGAAGGGCTTCTCACGCCTGAAAACCCGTCCAACCTCATCCAGCATTTTGTCCTTTGATCAAATAGGTTGTTGCAGGAAGAAATATAGAAATAGAAATATAGAATTCTTTATTGGCCAAGTGTGATTGGACACACAAGGAATCTGTCTTGGTGCAAATGCTCTCAGTGTACATAAAAGATACATTCGTCAAGAGTCAAGAATCATAAGGAACAACACTTAATGATAGTCATAGGGTACAGTAAGCAGTCAAATCATACTAGGAAGCAGTCAGTATAATTTGAAAGCGGCTTTTTGGGAGGACCCAGGGCTTCCACGCATCTTTCCAGCAGAGAAATCCATTTCCTAGGCCCAGCTGGTGGAAAAGGAGGAAAATGAAGGGCTGGAAGGGTGATGGGAAAAAGGGGAGTGGAATGTTTATTTTGGAAAGCCAGGAGCGAGACAGGGCTCCAGTTTTGATCCAAGCTTGGGAAGCAGATGAAAAAATAAATAAATCTCTTTTCCGTCGGGTCTTTTGTCTCCACGGCAAGTGGGTTAAGCCCTCTCTTTCTCCTCCCCTCCCCGGGCTCCGTTTGTGTAACCGAAGAAAGCTCTCTTCGTTTCCTTGCAAAGGCTCTTAAACAGGCAGGGCCGGAGGACAAACCCCCCACTCCCCCCAAAAAACCCTAAAACTCCTTGTGGTCCCTACTGGATCGGATCTGAGCGAGGGGAAAAGATTAAAACAAAAAGAGAGAAAGAGATCGATCCTTGCTTGGATCGCTTTGTTTTCATTTCTGCAAATGTCTCTCCATTTTTCACACCCACCCACTTCCACCAGAGTTTTGCATTCTGGGCGGTTGAACCCCCCTTCCACGGCCTGCCGACCTAGATGCGCTCCGATCCTGCACCCCGATGCGCCGGGATTGAGCGGGGGGGCGCGATCCTACCACCGTTGCGCGCTCAAGGCGCAGCGATCCTACACCCCTCCCCCCGAATTTCCTGGGTTCTTCCCGAGTCTCCCTTCCCTTCCCCTCCCCCTGCACGGAGAGGCCATCGCCTGGTTGGTATATGAGGAGTTTGGGGGGGGGAGAGATACACACAGGATTTGCAAGCGCAGCGAGGCACCTCCTTGCTCGCAAGGCTGCGCTTGCTTGCAAAGCCCCTCCGCGCCCCTTCCCGCTTCCTTCCTTCCGTCCCCCCCCCCTTCCCCCCCCCCCCCCCCCCATCCCCACCCCGCTCTGGTTTCTTTTCCGGCAACCGGAGCTCGCTGCTTTCCCATTTCCTGCCGGGCCGGGCTCCTTTAAGAGGGCAGAGCCGATGCCGGGAACTCGCGTCACTTTTTCAGCCTAGGAAACTCTCCAGGTCCATGAGCCGGAGGAGCCGCCGCGCGCTCCCTCTCCTGCCGGGCATCGTTGCGCGGCGGGCCCGGGCCGAGCGGGGGAGGCTAGCCGAGGAGGAGGAGGAAGAGGAAGAGGAGGAGGAAGAAGGAAAACCACCCCCCACCCTCGCCGTCCCCTCCACGCGCGCGCGCGAGCGAGCCAGAGAAAGAAGAGAGGCGGCACCGCCTCGCCTCGCCTCCCTTCTCCGAGCCATGCGAGGAGGGTCCCCTCCGGGTTGGCTGCGGGGCGCGCGGGCGGCTCGCCGGTGATCAGCGGAGGCGCCGCGCCGTTGAGACAAGAGAGAGAGAGAGAGCGCCTTCGCCCGGCCGGCCGAGGTGCTGCTGCGGGGAAAGGAAGCCGAGCCAAACCAGCCAAAGCAGCGGGCGGAAAGGCGCAGCCCAGCAGCCGGGAAGAAGAAGAAGAAGAAGGGGGGGGGGTGTTTGAAAAAAAGAAAAAAAAAACCCAACCCAGAGCCAAGGCGTACGGTGCGTTGCGCGGCCAACTTCCTGCATTTGGGAGGTTGCTCGCCTTCTCTCCGTTGGAGACATGTCGGAAGGTCCCGATCTGGTCTGCATCAAGGTAAAAGCAAGAGGCCGGCTGCCGTCGGGCCTCGGGGCTGGGCGGGCGGGTGGGGGGCTCGGGCGGAAGTCGGGTGGTGGTGGGGGCTTTCAGCTCCTCTTTCTTACAAACACACACTCCGGTTCCTCGCCTTGCAAACGGGGAGGTCAGTCCTGGGGGCGCGCGCACGCACGGGGGGGGGGTGCTTGCCTGGGCGGGAAGGCGCGTTTTGGCCCGGGCCGGCCCTCCCCCGCCCGCGCCCCGCCGGCCCCCCCCCCCCTCCCAGCCCGCTCTCCCCCCCCTGGAGGAGGCGAGGAGGGGGACTGGTTGTTTCCAGACATTGCGAAGAAGCGCCTGGAGGGCCGAAAAGCAAACCTCCCCAACCTTCTTCCCCCCCTCCACCACCACCCCCGGCTGGAAGAAAAAAAAAAACCTCTTCGGAGACGTAGCAGTTCCCCCACTGGCTCCGGCGGGATCGCCCGCCCCCCCCGCTGTGCCCCCCCCCCCCCCCCCCGGTCCGGGGGCCTGGCGGGGGCCCCCGGGGGGAAAGGCGACCCCCCCCCCCCGGCGTGAGGAGTTTTTGGCACGGGGCGCTGCGCTTTGCAAGCGAGATTCCCCGCGCGCCCGGCGGGGTTTTACGCGCAAAAGCTGCTTTCCCTTGGAGGGGCGCCCGGTTGCCGGGTCTGGTAGGTCCCTCGAGGCCATTGATCCTTTTGAGTCGGCCGGCCCTGATTTGGAAAGCCGAGGGACCAGCGATCCCCACGGTTCCCCCCCCCCCCCCCCCCCCCTTTGTAGCCCCGACTTTCTGGGCAGTTGGAAGAAAGAAATGAAACAGGTTGTTGGCGTTTTCGGCCGCCAGGAAGTGGAGCCCCCTCAGACACATACACACACACACACAAAAACCCCTCGTGACGAGCTTTAAAGAAATAGGCGAAGGTGCTTTTCCTTCAAACCAGGAAGGGAGTTCTGTTGGGGTGGGGTGCTTCTTGGGGACCCCCTCCCCCTCACATAACAATTGTTCTGAACCTGCGTGGAGTTTCCCCTCTTCCCCGGCTTTCAAGCCCAGCTGCCGCCTCTTCAGTCGCCCTTTGCTAGTTTTGAGGAAAAAGAAAATGCAACCGAATGTAAATCTTGTATTTATTTGGTGGCCTTGTTGCATGCTCACCTGACTCGGATGTATGGGGTAAATGCGGTATGTTTAGTTGCTCTCCGCCCTCCCCCCATCTTCTTGAAACGTGGTTATCTAACCAGATTAACACAAATGCAAGATGCATAAGAGAAAAAAAGGATACACAAAATGCAAAAAAAATTTTTTTTCTAAAAGTAACCATACATGTTACACGTTCATTAAAGCATTGGAAGCTTTTAAGAAGAGATTGGACAAGTATTTGTCTGAAATGGTATAGGGTTTCCTGCCCAAGCAGAGGGCTGGACTAGAAGATCTCCAAGGTCCCTTCCAACTTGTCTGTTGCTATGGAGGTAATCATAAAATCTATCCAAAATTGATAGGAGTGGGGATATAGCTATTATTCGGTCACTGTCCTAAGCTGTGCTGATGGTCGTTACTTCAGAGTTACCTTCAACTAAAAATTAATCTGAATTGAATCTGAATTAAGCTGGTTTAGAAATGTAGTGGAAGACAAATGAAACACTAGAAAAGACATTTTTGGATCTTTTAAACTGGCAGCTGTCTCCATCTGAAAATCTGTTTTACTTGTGCTTCACTCTTTAATCTTCTGTAACCATTAAGGCCCATATCTACAAGCAGTGAACATTTTATTTTTTTAAAAAATCCTATGATGTATGTTTTAATTTGCATTTCCCTTGAGGATAGCTTGTGTTCTTTCACGCCCAAAGAACTTGATTTCAACATGCCCATAATTTGTTTCGCTGAAATATAGTAACATGTAGCGTGAGATTCCCATTCTTAGAAAGATATTAAGGAGAAGTGGTTACCTGTAAATTTTGGTGTCATTCGTGAGGGACAAAAACAGTTAATGGGATTGCTAAAATGTATTTATTTATTTTTCACCTTTATTATTTTCATAAATAAAAATCCAACATACCTAGTACCCCTTCCTCTTATTTTCCTCAAAACAACAACCCTGTGAGGTGGGCTGGTCTGAGAGAAAGCAACTGGCCCAGAGTCACCCAGCTGGTTTTTTTTTTTTTTTTTACTCCTCACCGTTTCCTGCTTTTTAACCTGATGTCCTCAGTACTAAACCAAACTGACCATTTTTCAATTCCGTAATAGAATTGAATTCAATATTTTTTCAATATTAAGTGTAGTTTGAAGGCTCCACTTTTAAGTCATTTCCAACTGCCTTCTTTTTTTGTGTGGTTCTGGGCAATGCAGCCCAGAGTTTACCAGAAATGCTCTCTATATATGTCATGAACGATCACATAAATACCTTTTTTTATACAGTTATGATTGCACAACATCTGTAGTGACTGGGGATTTTTTTCCCCCTTTCAATAAATTTGTGGGCTGCCCATATGTAGTCAAGAGTGAGAAAACCATTGTTTTGTTTAGTTTGGGTTGCTTTCTGAGTGCAGGCTCTGTTTGAAGGAAAGGAAATCCTTATCAAAGCAGGATTTTTCTAGTCTGAGAGTCAGTGGCTCTTTTTCTGAATACTGTAGTAGAGATTTCTAATGTTTTGCTCCCCAAATTGGAGCCGTGTTGTTTTTGTAGTTCTACTTGGAAGAGCCCTTCCTCTCATGTTTAGAAGGCTGTGTATCCTCATTAGCTTGTAGAATAACAGGGTGCCTCTACTCCAGTTCCAACATGCTTTTTGCTCAATCTGTTTTTCACAGGATAAGATGCTTCTGAGCTGTACCAAAATCCCCCCCTTTTTTGGGGAAATGACATCATCACTCATATTCAATGGGAAGAGTTCCAAGGCAAAAAGAAATCCCATTTTAAAAATCCAGGCTGCATGCTCTTCTTTGCTCAGAAATAAAAAGTGAATATCTAAGTTGCACATTATATCCTGGCAGCATTTAATCTAGTGATATTCCTTCAGGTTTCTGTTTGGGTTTTGCTGTTCACAAAGTTTCCACAAAGCGGGGAGGGTAGCCTTTGCTTTAGCAATCTCTTCTCTTGCAGTAAAGAAGCATAATCTTTTAAAAAATCTTTCTTTCATGATTTCTCCTGAGCCTTAACACAGGCACCTCCATAAGGGTTTTTTTTTTTGGTATTTAAAACAATATCACAATATTTTCTCAAAAAGTCTATGGAAGAAAGGAAAGTCTGTGTGTGGGAAGCTTTTTTAAAAATAAGGTGAAACTTTAAATGGGATTTCCAAGTATAATTTGGTACCTTGAAAAATTGGGAGTCCAGTTCTATTTAGTTTCGTCTTCAGGTAGTTCTTAACTTAGAACCATTTGTTTAGTTTGAATTTATAATGGCATTGAAAAAGTGACTTATGACCATTTTTCATACTTACAACCGTTGCAGTATCCTTCAGGCACTTGGCAACTGACTCATATTTATGACGGTTCCAGGGTCATTTAAATAGTTTTTTGCAAACTTCTGACAAGCCAAGTCAATGGGGAAGCTGGATTCACTTAACCTTGTTATTAATTTCACAATTTGCCGTGGTTTACTGATGAACAACTGTGTCAAGAATGGTCATAAAGTGGGGTAAAACTCACTTAACAACTGTCTTGCGTACAGCAAGGGAAATTTGGGCCTCCTCTGTGGTCCGTACATGATCTCTCTACCCAGCCACTTCCAGTCAGGAACTCAGGTTTTTTTTTTAATTAAACAGAAATCAGGAACAGGAAAGAGAAGTGAATGAAATCCAACTGTTCCTCAAAGGAGTTTATCAAACAAACAAAGGAGGAAATGAACAAAGTTTATTTCCTGGTGGAATCCCGCCTTCTATTCACCCCCAATGTTAGGATGGTCTTTTCTAAGATAAGTGAAATAAATATGTATTCTAGGGGCAGGGATTATGGATCCTTCATCGGAGCCCTGAAGGTAGGGAGAAGCAGGCCAGGGTGGCTAATGAGGTGCTTTTAAATTTCCTGACATTTCTGTTCCCAGGTTTGGTTGATTCACCCTGTTGAAAAACAAATGGGAGTTGCCTTGCCTGGGCCAAACTCCTGGATTATCCTAAACCAGTGGACTTAATCTGATCTGTCAGTTCCTGTAATTCAGTGGGGTTATGCTGAAGGATCTTATTTCACAATTTTTGCCACCACATTTCCACTTTCCTGCCTCTAAGGAAAAGGGAGGAGGAAAAAAATGAGGTCTCAAATTTCCTGTTTTGTCTTTATCCAAGGGATACCCTAGTGCAGTCTATCTCAATCAACCTTGGCAACTTTAAGATATGGGGACTTCAATTCCCAGAATTCCTCAGCCAGCTAGACTGGCTGGAGAATTCTGGGAGTTAAAGTCCCCATGTCTTTAAGTTGCAACGTTGAGATACTAGTGTCTCTCATTCGGGTTCTGTCTTGATCTAACCTACTTAAATTTTTTTGAGAACGCCATCATCAGCATGTTGTCACGGACTCTAAAAAGGTACAGGTGCCTTTGAGTTGAATTCACCTTCCTTAGCAGTATTGAAGTGGTTTGCTGTTGTGAGCATAATTTTCTTCCCTTTAACCTCCCAGGTCTAGCTTACACATTTGGGTTTCTTTCCAAGTACCTGAATCGCTTTTCAGGATCAGCACAAGTGTCAGCGAGGTTCCACTGGCCAGCTGGAGAAGATATGAACCCCTCCTGGTCCTGCTTCATCCAAACATTAGGTAGAAGGGAGCAGGTTGTCCATAAAGTGCGACAAAAGTCAAGATGGTGGCCACAGTGTGTGAACAAAGCTACACCTGTTATCTGTCGTTTCTATCTCATCGTTGTGGACACCATCCTGATGGATTTGACCATAGTTTGTAGATTCTTGCAGAAGTCTGCCTTCTACATCTTTGGCTTTGCATGGCCATCACAGTCTTATTTTAGACTCTGTACTGGGAGACTCCATCTAATAATTTAGAATGAGAATGAAAGGATCCAAACCAGCTAA